GGAGACCCAAAAAAATACTGAAAAAAAATAACACCTTAAAAAATAGCCTAACCCAAATGGCAAAAGAGGTCCAAAAAGCCAATGAGGAGAAGAATGCCCTAAAAAGCAAAATTGGCCAAATGGAAAAGGAAGTCCAAAAGCTTAATGAAGAAACTACTTCCTTAAAAATCAGAATGGAGCAATTGGAAGCTAGTGACTTTATGAGAAATTAACACTGTAAAACTAATCTAAAAGAATGAAAAAATAGAAAACAATGTGAAATACCTCACTGGAAAAACAATTGACCTGGAAAATAGATCCAGGAGAGAGAATTTTAAAATTATTGGACTATCTGAAAGCCATGATCAAAAACAGCCTAGACATCATTTTTCAAGAAATGATCAAAGAAAACTGCCCTGATATTTTAGAACCAGAGGACAAAATAGAAATTAAAAGAATCCACCGATCCCCTCCTGAAAGAGACCCCCAAAGGAAAACTCCTAGGAATATTGTAGTCAAATTCCAGAGCTGCCAGGTCAAAGAGAAAGTATTGCAAGCAGCCAGAAAGAAACAATTCAAGTATTGTGGAAACACAATCAGTATAACACAAGATTTAGTAGCTTCTATATTAAGGGACCGGAAAGCATGGAATATAATATTCCAGAAGGCAAAGGAGATAGGATTACAACCAAGAATCACCTACCCAGCAAAACTGAGTATAATCCTTGAGGGGAAAAAATGGTCATTCAGTGAATTAGGGGACTTTCAAGCACTCTTGATGAAAAGACCAGAGCTGAATAGAAAATCTGACTTTCAAATACAAGACTCAAGAGAAACATAAAGAGGTAAGCAGGAAAGAGAAATCATAAGAGACTTAATAAGTCTCTTATTAAGAAATGTTTACATTACTGCATGGAAAGATGATACTTGTAACTCATGAGATCTTTGTCAGCATTAGGGTAGTTGCAGAGAAAAAATTATATGTATGTATATATAGATAGATAGATAGATAGAGGGCACAGGGTGAGTTGAAGATGAAGGGGTGATATCTGGAGAATAAAATTAGGGGGTGAGAGAGGATTATACCGGGAGAAGGAGAAAGGGAGAGGCAGAATGGGGTAAATTATCTCACGTGAAACAGACAAAAAAAGGCTTTTACAGTGGAGGGGGGGAAGGTGACAGGGAACAAGTGAATCTTATTCTCATCGGATTTAGCTTAAGGAGGGAATAACATACACATTCAATTGGGTATGGAAATCTCTTATCCTTCAGGAAAATAGGAGAAAGGGGATAAGAAAGCATGGGGATGATAGAGGGGAGAGCAGATTGGGGGAGGGGGTAATCAGAAGCAAACATTTCTAAGGAGGGACAGGGTCAAAATAAAGAATAGAATAAATGGGGGGCGGGATAGGATGAAGGGAAGTATAGTTTTTCACAACATGATTACTGTGGAAGTGTTTTGCATGACTACACATGTATAACCTGTATCGAGTTACTTGCCTTTTTAATGAGGGTGCTGGGGAGGAAGGAAGGGAGAATATTTGGAACCCAAAGTTTTAAAAACAAAAGTTAAAAAAATTGTTTGCACATGCAACTGGGAAATAAGAAATACAGGAAATAGGGTATAGAAATCTATGCTACCCTACAGGAAAATAGAAGGGGAAGGGGATAAGAGAAGGGGGGGAGAGATAGAAGGGAAGGCAGATTAGGGGAAGGCTTATACAGCATGCATGCCATCTTGGGGTGGGGGGAGGGACGAGATGGGGAGAAAATTTGGAACTCAAAATTCTGTAGAAGTGAATGTTGAAAACTAAAAAAAAAAATACATTAAAAAAAAAAAAAAGAAATGGCACCAAATACCAACAAACAGGAGCCTGTCCAAAGAAGGAAGACACTACAGTCTTCCTAGAAAGACCCTACTGAAGATGCTGGGGATGTTTAGCTTGAAGTGAGAAGGCTTCCAGGGGCCATGAACACCTCTCCAAGTATTTAAAGGCTTGACCCCAGGGAGCAGAAATAACTAGTGAAAGTTTCACAAAGGCAGACTGCAGCTCAATGTAAAAAAAAACTTAACAATGAGAGTCATTAGAAAGAGCAACGCACAACAGTTCCCTCTCATTAAGCAGAACTTACAGGACTACTTGCTGGAGATATTATAAAAAGGATATAGGTCAGAGAGCAGCTGGACTAGATGGCCCACAAGCTCTTTTCCAATCTTTCTACAGTAGTTACACAGCTGGTATAAGCCACAGCCCAACAAAGCATCTGTCTTCTCCAAATATTTATAGAGTTATATGAACCAACAAATCTCCAACAAATAATGTTGTTACATACAAGAGAGTTCAGAGAATAAGGAGGGAGAGGGTAAAAGTGGAAAAAAGGAGCAAGACGTTATATTGTTACATTATAACTTTCCAGCATTGAAACCTCTTTTACACTCTGGAGAGGCAAAGCTGGCTAAACTGTTCTAGAGACATGCTACCTCTGAGGCTATAAAGGTGGGTTGGTTATCTCAATCTTGTCAGAAAAAACCCAATGTTTCTGAAATGAACAAGGACAAAACAAAATAAATCATCTCTCAAAGAAGAATTCATCAACACTGTAGTTGTTAGTCAACAAATGACCCCATTTGGAGTTTTCTTGGCAAAGATACCAGAGTGGCCACTTCCTTCTCTAGCTCATTTTACAGAAGAGGAACTGAGGTAAACAGAGTTAAGTGAATCTCCTAGGGCCACACAGCTAATAAATATCTGGGACTGGATTTGAACTCAGGTCTTCTTGACTCCAGGCCCACTGTGCCACTCACTACATCTACATTGGGCCTTACAAAGCACTAAACTAAGTTTGGTTGAGGAGTGGAAGACACATGTTCTGTGGAACACCTCTAGGAGATTAAATTTGCCTCCTTAAAGGCCTCAATGGAATGGGATTTATTCCAAAGAGGACAAAGGCCTAGGACCACTGTTCTAAGTTTAGTCCTGAAGATACAATGTGAATTAAGATCCAAAGTACACAAGCTTATAAAAAAAAAAAAAAAATACAGCATTTTCGCCACCTAGTGGTCAACAACAGTGGCCCATCATTCAAAATAGACATCTTCACTGACTTTTCTCCCCAAGACATTCCTGTCACCAGAGACTTAACTCTCATCACCTGATGTAAACCTACCAAAGACCTGAGAAATCAATGTACACAGAGCTTGGTGACTCCTTTCTTCCTATTAATGATAACAGCTCACATATTTTTATAGCACTTTGCAACTGACAAAGTATTTTTTTTTTTTACAACAACCATTTGAGGTGGGTTATGATGACCATTTTAAAAGCACTTTCTCCCAACATCCAGCTCCTGTAACCTCATCCCTGATTTCTTCAAAGCTCCACTCAAGTACCACCTTTTCCAAATTACCTTATGCATATACGTACACACATATCATACACGCACACGCGCACGGGCTTGTACATATATGTTGTCTCTTCTGATGTAACGTAAACTCCTTCAAAGGTAAGGGTTGCTCCATTTTTGTCTTTGTACCCCCAGGGTCTAGTACAGTGCCTGGCACATAGTTAAAAACTTAATGCCTGTTAACTGATTGATGTGATTGCTGAGCCACTGTTCGTAATATCCGAACAATCACAGGGAATGAAATAGGTACCACAAGACTGAAGAAATGCAAATGGGATATTTTTCAAAATAGGAACAGAACAGAATCTATAAACTAAAAACCTAAGTGTTTGACTCTAAATCCTGAGAAAATTCTGGAATGGATCAATAAAGAGACAATTAGTCAATGCCTAGAGAAAGAAGTAGTGATTAAGATGTGACTACACAGCTTCTCCAAGAACAGGTTATAGGAGATTAACCTTATTTTTTTTTATGTCCAGGTTAAGTTAGGAGACTGAAGAGTACAGGAGATATCAGTTACCTAGATTTTAGGAGAATATCTATAATGAAGAATCCCATGCTATTCTTGAGGAGAAAACAGAGAACTGTGGACAATTCAATGGATTTGGAACTGACTGAATGGCCAGATTCAAAGGCTGGATGATCACCTACTGAAGATGTTGTGTTGGGTTTCTTGCTCAGATATAGGTTAAGACAAGATGGCCTCAGGTCCCTTCCAATTCTGAGATTTTCTTAGTAACTTTTACATCACAAAGTGGCATTAAGGGGGACTTTAATGAAGAACAGGATGAGGGTTTTTAAAAGGGGATAAGAGAAATGAACCTAGCAGTAAGAAGCCCAGACTAAATGGTAAACAGAGGAGTTAAGGGAAAGACAATAAGGAAAATTGTATCACAGTGCATGTGGTCCTGCCAAGAGGGGGCCAACCATGACAGGGAGAGAAGGGCCATGACAATAAGAAGTTTGGGGTAGAGTGGAGAGCTTAAGGTCTGCAAATATGCAAAATATCATGTGTTAGCAGAGGATAATGAGGCAAAGGACGGGGCAGCAGCAACCATGGTAGCCATGGACACAGCTCCTTCTGTGGAGAAACTACCCTCCCTCCAATGGAGCATACCACTCCCACCCCATGTTAGCACATGCTGAAGCCAAACCCCCTCAGACCTATACTAGTGACCCTAGTTGATGCACTAGGAAGGACTTCCTGACTGAGCACTATTACAACTCCTGATACAACCCCGTGGTCTGCATTGGAGTCGAGTTATTTTATTTTGAATATTAAAAAAAAGGAGTTTAATATTCTATATAACTCTTAACTCCAAGGAGCTCATCAGACACTAACTCTGAATGGGCTGTCATAGCGACAGTAACCAAACAAAACAGAAGACTGTCTGTTTCTCTCCAGACAATTCTGCTCTTTAGCATTAAGGTCCCAATCAAAACCAACAACTTTTTTCCTGACCTAGTAAAGGACTCCTCATATTTGCAAGGCAAACAGGTGCTCAATAAGTATCACAGAATGGAACAGAATCCTCTCTGACATCAGCTACGTCACAAGCTATCCTCCACAAGGAGGCCTCTGCAGTCCAGTCTCAAGGAAAGCCTCCCCAACTCACATTGATAATGCTGAAGAAGCCTGTTGGTCCTGACGTCCCACAACTTGACAGTGTTATCTGTACCAGCAGCAGCGATGCATGTACCACTGGGATGGAAGTCCACATAATTGACAAACCTAAAGTAGAAAAGACCTGAATTAGGGTCAACAGAGAGAATTCTCAATGCAATAAAAAGGGATCACACAAGAGTCAGTTTCAAGTCCTTGCCCTACTAGGTCTGCACTAAGCACACAGTAAATGATTGAAAAATAGAACTGATTGATGCAATTATTCTACAATGTTTCCACAAAACGGACCTATTTTTCTATTAAGTAACAAGTCACAATTTTAAGCCTAAGGGAAAATGGGCTGGGGCTAAGACTAAATTGAGGAAGGTTTACTAAATATACTGTTTCGGCGTTTTTAAAATCAGACTATAGGCCTCAACATTAAAGTGTCACCACAAAGCTTCCAGTGTTTTTCTGGCCAATACTCAATAGCCACATGACATTTTGCTTGTCTAGAGAAGTATTTAGGCCCAAAGGTGTGACACAGATGTTCCCCCAGACCCTAACTTTTCACCTACTGGTCAGGAGAGAGATCTTAGAATTTCACTAAGGAAATCTGCATGTTATCATCAGTTCAGGTGCTCATATTATAAAAGTTGCCAACCAAAATAACAGAAGATGAAATTACATCAACAATTCTGGACAAGTCACCATTTAAATAAATCCTTATATTTTGAATATTAAAGTACTATATAAATGTGAGCTATATTTATCAATATTTTGAAAATAATAATATTAAGATAAGCCATAACTATCTGACCATGGAAAATGTATCATAAGAGATTACTTCTAGAGCCAAAAGTTTTCAAATCCATGGAATTACAAAATAAGGCGGCTTAAAATACACTTTCCTTTCTGATAAGATTTAATTACATTTACATGGACTTTTAATATCACAGTTCTCCGTGTTATAAAACTAGAAAAAGGAGCTACCTTAACATTTAAATTGCCTAAGTCAAAACCTTCCTGTTTTTTGTAAGCACTTTGAAGTGATTAAGTCTTATATCTAGTCACTAACATGAAAGTTGTAAATCGTATCTGTATTTGCTGCTTTCCTTCCCAGTAGAGAATTTGATGAGCATCTGTAGAAATTATCAGACATTATTTGTTACACTAATTTATGTCCCAAGTATGTAACAGCTCTCTGACATCACCTCGGGCAAAAATGGCTTTTTAAAAATAGGAAGTGAATGGATAGTTGTCACATTTCACCACCTGTGTTTCACAGGCAACTAACCAGACAACACAGACTGGAAGGCAGTTTGTAAGTGTGAGGATAGAGGAGGGACAGGCTGACAGGCTCAGTGGCAGGCTTACCCGCCATGTTCACAAAAGGAATGCACACATTCTCTGCTAGTCTTATCCCACAGCTTGACAGTTTTATCATCACTGGCAGACACGATCAGCCTTCCATCAGGAGAGAATCTGAAAAGGAAGCAAGGCATCATTTTTATACCATCTATTAGGTTAGTCTAGGCAGAGTGAAACAGATGTACAGATGCAGTTGTTAGCTACGCTGGGAGGATGGTCTCACTGGAAGAAGGGTGTTGCTTTTATTTAAGATTCAAATCATTCGTTTTCTGCTCCTGCGGGCTCCAGTTGAATCAGACACAATTCCAGCATTTCCCAACATATCGCACCCAGGACAGTATCATTATTCCAGGCAGGCCTAAATTTCAGAGACATAACTCACAACAGGAATAGAAACTGCTTCAGCAGATAGTATTAAGTATGAGATCACAAGGGAATGAGGAGTAGGGATTAGTGATTCATGAGGATGGCAGGATCCCAAGGTAAATGGCAAGCAATCTCACTCCTCACCAACATCACAATGGGATTCTGACAGTAGTAAAGCCCCCATGGAGTGATCAATGATCTAACATAACATACTTACACTTCAGCCCACCTCAGGGGCAGCCAAGAGTTATCAACACATCTATCAAGCAGATTTTATCACCTTTTCCTTTCAGTCAGTCAATAAATGTTTCCTAAGCACCTACTATGTGCCAGGCTGGGGATATAAAAAGAGACAAAAGATAGTCCCTGCCCTCAAGGAGTTCACAATCTACTGGATTGTGAGCTAAGTCCTTAAATGTCCTCTCTTCAATTCTTTCTTTCTTTCTTTTGTTTTCTGCAGGCTTTCCTGAATCAATGAGAAAGCATTTTAAGCACTTCCTGATAAAAGGTGCAGTATAAATCCAAACTGCTATATTCATTCAACAAAGACTTATTAAATGTCTACTGTGTGCAGAACACTGTCCTAGGCACTGGAGATGTGACATCATTCCTGCCATGAAGGACCTAACAACCCCGTAACGACGGCTAAGAAGTTACTTTCCAAGAGAACATGTAGCAACCATAAAAACTATGCCCCAAGAGCAACAGAATAGCCCATGTGCCTCTACAAGATCAAAGTACTATATTTTAAACAGGAAGCATTTAGGAAAGTAAAACATTGTTCCTACTTTGGAAAATACAGTAGGATAAATAGAATACACTATAGATAAGGAAAAGAAGTCTTCTATGTGCACAAAAGGAAAATGTACAAGGAGACAGTGATAAGAAAAAAGATATTAAGTACAAAATACATGTCGAAAGGAATAAATAATGGGAAATCATATAATGGGAAATCACGTATCTTTAGAATCAAGAGCTGAGAAGAAGATTAATAGCCACAGGCCTAGCTTGTAATGCTTGAGCCCATAATTTCTAGTGTAGCAGGAATATTTCATTTATCCTTTTTTGCTCCTCCAGACCCCTCCCAGAAATAAAATATGTGCTTCAGGTCACAAGTTTCACCAAGCCTGAGTCACTCTAAACTAGGGCATCTTGCCCCTTCGTGGCACCAAGACGGAGAAGCTCTCAAACCAGTATTAGGAATTTTACCCAACTGGGTTTCTTTCACCTCTCCTCCAAACCCAAGCGTGAAGCCTCCTAAATACTATATAATCATTTAGCTAACTAGCTATCCCACCTTCTTCCTCTCTAAGAGGATAGAAAGTACTATCACTACAACTAAGAATCAACCCTATTACTACAAAGAATGTAGCACCTCTCCAAAAGTATACAAAGGCAAATCATCTAGCACACAGTTCTTTCAAAGGGTTTGAAGACAGAAATCATGTCCTCCCTATCTTCTCTAAGCCAAGTATCCGTCCTCTATCAAGTTCTCATGAAGGTTTTTTTCAAGTCCCCTCCACAAACTGGTGCTCTTTCTCTGGACATGCTCTAATTTGTCAATATTCCTTTAAAAATGTGGTGCCTAGATCTGCACACAATATAATCAGAATTACCTCTAATTAAGAATAAACTATAGTAAAAAGCAAAAACCAAGAAAGAAAATCTATAACTCTGTGCAATAAGGATGGCCAAGGTGTAAATGCTCAAAGCCAAAGAGCAAGGGACGTGGGAGGGGTAACAGTGGAGTGGTGGAGACTATAAATTCTCAGCTTACTAGGAAATAAGATCACATACAAGAGTCCAGGTTGGACCTAATATCCCACCACACCCACAAACACACACACACACACACACACACACACAAGTTATCTGTAAATAGCTATTTTATATATAATGTTTAAATAAAATTACATACTCCTCTCCTTTCTTCTCATGAAGGATATGACTTACTTGGCACAGCGGACCCAGTTGATGTGCTGGCTGAATGAGAACAAAAATTTCTGGCGGTGCACTGTCCACACTTTTACTGTTTTGTCATCTGAGGCTGTCACCAATGACTGACCATCATTGGAAAAATGGACACTTCTTACAGTTCCTGTGTGAGCTCTGAAAACTGTAGATTCACCTTTGCTAAATGCAAAGACACCAGGTCATTAAAAGTCACTTTAGAAATCATTACACAGTACAGTAAAAAGCCCTCCTGGTTCCCAAGTATATCCCTCTAGTATAAATTCAGGTACAAGTATGTGTCTATCCTAAGACAAAGATGGAACAGGGACCTAAATGGGCCTGGATTTGGGTACAGAGTACCCAATAACCTTCTAATGTCATACTGCAGTTATCACAGTCCCCTTTTACAAGTGACTAAAATGAAGTGATTTCTCGGCCCTCACACACGAATGAGCATCACTGGCAATATGTGAACACCCAGGTCTTCTTGACTCCAGCCACTGTTAGTCTGCAGAGCCCATGGCAGCCCCAGCCACTGCCCATTTCAGAGGAAGAATAACAAAACTGGTCAAAGTAATCATGTCCCTGAAGGCTGAGGATGGTCCCCCTGAAGGGCAATTAGCAAACTACTACAAATTCACTTAGAGATGATTCCATGCCAAAGAAACTGAGCCCCCACAACCTGGCTATCTTGCTCCTCACAAAGACTACTAAGAAGCAGCCTACAATACTGGAAAGAGCTCTGGCCTGTGGTGCAGAAGTTCTGGTCTAAATTCCCAGCTCTGTTCTTTATGAGCTGTGTGACCCTGGGTAAATTGCTTTCCCTTTCTGGACTTCATTTTCCTCATTTGTCAACAAAGTGGGGGTGGGACTTGACAACACTAGATTACATCTAAGATTCCTTTGAGAACTAATGACCTATGCCCTCTCTCTAAGTACGATATAGGGACAGGAAGGGGAATGAAGAGAAAAAGGTCTTCACAGAGATAATTGTGAAGAGAATAGCAATAGCCCTTAGACTCATGATTTCTAACAAACCAGCCAATGAGATAAGAGTTTTACAGAAAAGAAGATGAGTATACTTACAGATTTGGCACCCATATTCGGACAGTTTTATCTCTAGATCCTGATGCCACAAGGTGACCAGAAGGGGAAAACTGAACACACATCACTGCGTCTTTATGCCCCACAAAACGATAGGCTCTCATATGAGGTTTCATGTGCCAGATCATCAAACATGAATCCATGCTGCCACTTACTAAATCAATAATTAAAGTTCTAGTTAATATGGATGCACATTATTCTGAATAATCATATATAATAAAAAGGACAGAATTTTCCCCTTCATAGATGAAAAATGGCACTGTGCCTACTTTTAGCAAGGTATATGCTTTAAGTTTTTCTGGTAATGACAGATTTCACTGAGCCAGCAGTGTCCTCAGTACTGAAGTACAGTCTATGAACATGCAAATGACCTTGGCCACTATCCAACTAAAGTGACCAGCCACACACAGTAAATAATCCAAACCATCAAATAGCAACTCCATTAAAAAAAAAATTTCCAATGACAGCAGAGAACCCCAAACAGCACAGAATTCCCAGTAAAATTAGAAATAATTTTGAATACATATAATTATTTTTCATTCCACAAATATTCCTGAGCTTGCATATAAGATAACTTATGAGAAATATATAATCCCTGATCTCAAGGATTTACAGATTATGGATACCATTAGAAGGTATAGATAACATGCAGTAAATTAAATGGGTTTTTACGCAGATACATGCAACTTCTAAAACAACCAAAAATTTCATCTTGCCCAATTAATTTGCTCAGTCAAAGCTATAGAAATCATGACTTCTCATTTTCCATTTGATTCCTCACATATACAAATGCCCACCTCCACACATACCCCATTTTATTCTAAAATATATGAGCGCCTTCAAGAACACAAGATGACTTTACCTAACTGCTTCATGTTGAAATTGAAGTCCACACTGGTGACAGCATCTTTGTGGCCTCTGAAATTTCTCTCCAATGATGGATCATCCTGCAGAACCGGAAAGTATTTCAAATGCAAACTAACAGTAGAAAAGAGAACAAGAAACCTTTGCACAGAAACCTGTTTCCACAACAATCAGAAAATGAGTGCTATGAGAAGTTAACTGCAGTTTTCTAAATCTACCAAACACTAGAGGAAAAAGGTGCCTCTGAGGCACCAACTTGACAGCTCTCTCCACCCTCAAGCATACACATTGAGTTCTTAGTTCCATATCCCAAGAATATTATGAAATTAGAAATTACATGATCAGTCTACAGCTAGTTCAAAATTAATCCTGAACAGATCACTGGAAATAAAGAAAAGATCACAAATTTGGATCTAGAAGATACCTTAGAGAACATCTAGTCCCACAGCCTCCTTTTATAGAAGAAACTGAGTCTAACAAGGCTATGTGATTGACCTAAGGCCATCGGGGGAAGTGCCTGAGAAGAGATCTGAGTGTTCATCCTCTGACTCTTCAATTTACTGCTTCCCACAGACCAGACTAGAAAGTCACTCATCTTCAGTATGGACTAGCATCATTCTTCCACAACCCATCTGCTCTGCTGATGCTGCTGTGTGTGGGCTAGCTAATTAAATGAGCAGTTGGGAAAGCAGCCTTGGAAAAGATCAGGTACAAAGGGAGATAGGAGATTAAACATTCTGTTTTGAATTGACTACATATAATAAGCATACACCAACCCAGATAAAAACCCACATACTGGAAAAACAGCTCTCTTCTACATATTCTGCATGTGTATGGGGAAGGGGAAGAGACAGTGAAGAGGGGGAGGTTGCCAGAATTTCCTATTGTCAAGAGGCTCCATTGCCTTCAGAGAAGTCACATTGAGAACACAGCTCTCACTACTGGCTCTTCATATTGAGATTCCCAGAAACAAAAGACAAGAAGTGAATCCCTAACCACTCTCCAAAAAGATGGGTCAACCTGGAAAGCACTGTCCCACGTGAAAGGAGCAGGCCCTAGAGTCTGGCAGCTCATGCCGACTGTAGCAGTCAATGACGGATGTGAGACCCTGAAATTCATACAGACCCTTGCAGCTCCTGAGATCTAGGCCTGTCTTCACATTCAGCTTAAACAATTCAATAAACATTACTACCATGTGTGAGGCATGGAAGAAATAAACACTCTGCTCTCAAGAAATTCACATTCTTCTAGAAGGCATCTGACATGTACTTTGGGAGGAAGAAGGGTGAGAGACAGGGCCCACTCCCAAATTGCCCAAAATCAAACTGATTCCCCAGCCAAGACACACCTTAAAAGGTACAATGCCATAATGCCAATTCAGCCCCTTTTGCTCTTCCAGACCCCAGGGGATTACACAGCTCTACACTGAGCATTTGGGGTAAAGTTTAGACACGAAGCTACTAAAGCATTTCCAATGATTCCACTCCCCAGCTGAGTTCTCCTTTCTCTGAACTCCTACAACCTTTGCCAGGATAAGAATATGTGGCCCACCCACCATGATGTTATTTTTTTAAAGGCGGGGAGGTGAGGGGGCTAAGGACTCCAAAGAAGCATATCTACTTCTCCAAAGGTACAAAACAACTCTCCTTTGTAAATTAGGTCTACAAACACTTTATTCACCACAATCTTAAGGAATTCTTTTTTGTATGCACTCATTCTTCCCGACACTCTGTGCACTTTCGGAAGGAATGACTGGCCTATGCTTGGTCTTTTCAGGGTACTGGATGTTCCATTATTCCACGATCTTGGGGACTGCTCAGGCTAGGGACCTGCAAGTTTTCAGTATACCCAAAATGATCTGATCCAGAATGAAATCTAAGCACTACCCTGTTAGTCTAAGCTCTGCAAGCTCTTGACTTGGGCTTGGTTCTAATCAATACTACTGTAGACTTGCCCCAGTTGGAGCACTGGTAAACTACTGTTGAGCTTGGCCACCTTCAACCAGCTAGAAAGCTCAGTGGGTTCAGAGCGACAGAACTGCAGGTTTCACTTTGGTATGGGGTACCTATCCTGGTTTTTCTGCTGCAGACTTCAGACTAGGTTGGCTGCTCTAAGGCCCCACTCTGCTCACAGGGTCAGACTCATAGTTGCTGTTTACTTCTGTACTTATTCTCACTCGGCATACAACTTAGGGCCTTGACTTCTCCTGCCCTGGAATATCACCTCTTAGCTCAGGTGCCCTCCTTGGTTCCTACTGGATTTGTGACCCAGCAGCGTGCAGTGAGTGACACATCTGCCAGCTGGCAGTTCTTATTCTCTACCCAAGATCAGGTTGCTCTGCCAGATCTAGGACCCGTTCTTACCTTGGTACACAGCCACCGGCAGGCCCTCATTCAGTCCCCAAGCTGGACTGCTCTAAGCAGTCATTCTGGGCTAGACTCTATCCCATGTCCAAAGAGTGCTATCAACCCATCAATCAGCAAGCATTTATTAAGCACCTACTATGTGCCAGCTCTGTAGATACAAAGACAAAAATGAGATGGTCTCTGCCCTCTAGGAGCTGACCGTCTACACCCTCAGCCATAAAAATGGTTTGTTATGAATTTTTTTAGATTTCCTGACCAGGACTTAGTCTGGTGGATTTTCTAGACTTTGTGGAGGAATTGTGGTGGAAGCTCATCTATACTACCTCCTTCCACTCCTCCACCTTTGCTAGTGTCCCCAAGAGCTTCCTAATGGATCTATCTTCCTGCCTCAAATCTCTCCCCATTCCAATCCATCCTCTACACAGCTGCCAAAGTGATTTTCTCAAAGTTTAGGCTTGATTATGTCACTTCCATACTCTACTAGCTCAAAGATCAAATAGAACCTGCTGTATCTGGCATTTAAATATCTTTACAACCTGACCCCTTCTTAGCTTTCTCATTGAAGTTACAATTACTCCCTCCATGCACATTACACTCCAAACAAACTGGCCTTCTTCTAACTTTGGACTGGCTATTCCCCACGTCTGGAATGTACTCCCCCAACACCTTTATCCCTTAGAATGACTTCCTACAAGCATTAGTTCAAGTACCAACTTCTTCATGAAGTCTTTCCTCATCACACCCCACCCCTAGCTGCTTTTAACTTCCTCCTCAAAATCACTTTTTATCTATGGGAGTATTTTCTATATATAAATACATGCATACATACATATAGGTGTATGTATGTACATATGTGTTATATATGTAATATATACCATACATAGTGTGTGTGTATACACACATTTATATAAACAGTTTTCCTCTTCTAGACTGTCAGCTCCTAGAGGGCAGGGATCATCTTGTTTTTTAGTCTTTGCATCTACAGTGCTGGCACATATTAGGTGTTAATAAATGCATGCTGATGGGTTGAAGAACAGGCAAAGAGAGGTAAATGTGGTCTATGTCACCCAGAGATGGAATAACTACAAAACAAGGAAGGTGAAAGTGCTTGAGATGGGGCAGTGTGATACAATGGAAAGAGAACTGGGCTTGGGGGTAGAGTGTCATAGCACTAGAGTTCAGAATTAGAAGGGACCTTCAAGATCATATAGCCCAACCCCTCATTTTACAGGTGAGGAAACTGAGGTCCAGAGAAGTAACTAAGGAGGCAAGGAATAATAGAGAAGGAATTCCAGACTTGAAGTTAGACGAAACCTAAGTTCAAACCCTCCAATATTACCGTATAACCATATGCAAATCACTTTCCCTTTATGAATCTCAAATTCCTCATCTATAATAAGTGGATATTACCTATACTACTTACCTCATAAGGTTTTCTGAACATCAAATGAAGTGTATGTAAAACGCTGTGTAAATCTTAAAACACTAAATGTCTGCTTTTATTATTATTGCCATTTAAGATTCTACATCTAGTAAGGCCAATATGCAAAACCAGTTTTTGACTCATCTTGAGTGTTCTTTCTACAAATAACTTCCCGTCCCTCCCCCCAATATGCCACTACCTTCACACACAAAAAGTCTGTGCAAATAGGTGGACAGTGAAATAAATTTTCATTTATATTGTTTTAGAGGGGGAAAAAACAACAAAGGAAAAAGCAATGAGAGAAAAAACGCCAAAACCTTTGAACAAAATACAACAGTATGTAAAATACTTGGGACACAGAATAATTTTGATAGTTTCCTTTCTTGATAGCAATGGTAATGCATACATGCAAGCTTCTACTGAGACGGGGCTGACTCAGAACACATGACCTTGACCAGATGAAACGAGATTAACCTGGTTTCCCTACCTGTAGTACTCCATCAGTCAAGTGCTCTAAGTGTTGATTTTGCTTCATACTTAGGTGTTTCATTGTCCTCTTTTATTGTACTTTTAATTCTGTGTTTTTTAAGAATGGATATGACTCCAAGGAAAAGTACAAAAGTTGTAGCTCCTAAAAAGCATACTTCGATGACGATTAGATATTTATTGCAGGGGTCTGGTGGTGTGGGCAGTCAAGCATTTCAAGGATCATTTAAGGCCACAATGATGGTCAGTTACACCCAAACAAAAGGAAAGGTGAAAAACAAATAACATCAAGAACTCATAAGCTATTACTGTCATAGTCTAATTCACCCTAAAAAACCAAGCAAAGACCTTCAGAAGGACCTGGAACCTGGAGGGGCTATTACTAATTCCTTAACAATGCAGCACAGGCTTCTTAAAGTTGGAAGAACAGAGAATACACATTTTAAAAAAAACATGCCAACTACTGCTATGAAGAAAAAATACACTTGTCATGGGGAACAAAATACAAAAATACTAGTATACTGAAGAGTGGGAAAAGTTAATTTTTTTCATTCAAGGCTTTAATAAAATCGGCACAAATCCAGGTGATTAATAAGATCCTGATATCTTCCACAGATATAAAACATCCAATCAAAAAATGTTTTGGGTATTTTTTTTTAACTTCCACTGGGCCTAAAAGGCTGGTCTCAACTGAAGGAAATGATAAATTATGATATATAATGATATACTGAGAGGCAGAATTGCTCAGAATTACAAAAATTCCCAAATGGAGATGGAGTACTGCAACACAGTCTTACACCATGCCACAAGTCACAAAATAAAGAAATGTATCTTAAAGATGGAGATAGAGGTAGTTAGGCAGCACAATGGACAGAGCACCAGCCCTGGAGTCAGGAGGACCTGAGTTCAAATCCGGCCTCAGACACTAGGCAAGTCACTTAACTCCAATTGCCTCACCAATTAAAAAAAAAAATGGAGATAAACACAATGACCAGAGAACTTGCCTGTTTTAAAACGCATTGAAAACTTAGGGACTATAATCAAGGGTAGACTTGGGAAAATGGACTATTTCTCAAAGGTATGCTTAATAATCAATGTGATAAATTTGTGCTTTTATGATGAATTAAAGAACAGGACAAAATCTTGAGAACTCAACATGAATCATATAAAAGAGGGCTTCTTAATCGTTATTTTTGTGCTCTGGACCCATTAGACTCTAACCTCCTAGGGCTGTCTTTTGCCTCTCTTTGTACCCCTCCCCCCATGGCACACTGACATGGCACACAGTAGGTGGCACACAGGGCATTTTAAGTGATCAATTGACTAGACTCTTTGGCAATCTAGTAAAACTCATGAACCCCTTCTCAGAATGTTTTGTAGGCTCTGTTCATAACTCAAGGAAATGTTAAATTTCAGTGAAAATAAAGAATTGCCTTCCCTCACCAAAGCTCATGGTTCCCCTGAAACCTATTCACAGGCTCTCTGGCTTCAAATCACAGCTAAAATCCCACCTCCTACAGGAAGCCTTCCCCAATCACTCTTAATTCCAGTGCCTTTCCCTCCTTCTGTTAATTACTTCCTCTTTATCCTGCGTAGAGCTAGCTTTGTATTAACTGTTTGCCAGTTGTTCCCAACTGGCTCCCATTAGATTGTAAGCTTCTTGAGGGTAGGAACTGTCTTTTGCTTCTTTTTCTATCCCCAGCTCCTGGCACAGTGCCTGGCACCTAGTGGGCGCCTAGTAAGTGCTTACTGAATTATGGTAAAAACAAGTGAAAAAGGCGTATTTTGCATATTGCTGAGATGCACAAAGCTGCAAAGTTTATTGTGCTGGACAATATATTTCATCCCTTTACTGTATCCCAGGTCATTCGCAGACTGCCCTAAGATTCGATTTGCTCAAATTTCCACCGAAACTCAGAGGAGTTGAGGCCTCCCATTTACGAGCTGGCCCACAGCACACCCCCCCCAAAGGAAAACAATTTGTTAAAAAGTCATTAGAAAGGGTCAGATTTGGACCCCAGGCTTCCTGATCCCCACTTCAGGTCCCTTCCCATCACATCCCATTCCTGGAGCAAGAGCGGAGCCTTCTCTTCTCCGCACCATCCCGACGGGCATTCATTAAGCCCCTACTTTATGCAGAGCCCAGAGCCCGCGCCCGGCGCCGACGGCCCTGGGGGAGGGGCCGCCCCAATCACCCTCAGCCCCCCCGGGCCTCAGCTTCCCCCGGCCCAGGAAGCGCGGCTCCCACCCCCCCCCAGCCGCCCCGGCCCGAGCCCCGAGCCCTCACCAAGCAGGGGGCCGCCATAGCGCCGGCCGGCCCGAAGTTCCGGCAGTTCAGTTTCCGCGCCCCCAACCGCCGCCAATAGCAACGACATCCGCGCCTTAAAGGGGAGGGACCGCCCCGCAGGGCATTATGGGGGTATTTTCCCCGCCGAACGGAAACCGGCAGCTGGGAAAGGTCCTGTCTCTGCTCCGCCCTTTCTCCATCTCTTCATTTAGCCTGCAATTGGCATACCGTTTCTCCCTTTTCCTTCCCGCCCACCCCGGCCTCCCCTCTATCTCCAATGGTCTCACACTCCTTCCTCCTTTCCCTCCCCCGACAAGCTGGAAGGCGGGACAAAGTGCGAAGGGGCCGCGCAGCCTCAGTAAGTGCAAATTATCCAGGCCGCGGACACCTTCGACTAGCAACAGTGGGCGCTGTGGAGACGGGCCTTGGGGTGTTTTGTTACCGTTAGGCGTGGCTAGGAATGGATTAAATATTTAAACAAAGCCATGAGGAGGGTGGGGACGCTCTTCTCTGGGCTCCGCCCTCCCCAGCCGGGCATCTCGGTTTCCTAGCAACTACCAAGCCGGAACGGAAGAGGCGGTGAGAGCGGAAGCGGAGTGGAGGGTGAGCAGCGGGAGTTTGGAAAGCGTCATTTCCGGAAGGAAGTGAGATGCTGACCCAAGCCCGGAAATCCGGAACTGGCTAATTCGACTTTCCGCGCTGCTGTGGTCTTCCTGCGGTTCCAATGTCTCCAGAACCTCAGTCTGTAAAGTAGATATTTGTTGTTGCTCGACCCTGCCGGACTCTTTGTGACCCCATGGACCGTAGACCACCAGACCCTTCTATTCTCCGCTATCTCCCAAAGTCTGTTCCAGCTCACGTTCGTTTTTTTCCATGACTCTTATCTATCCTCGTCCTCTGCCATCTCCTTCTCCCTTTGCCTTCAGTCTCTCCCGACATCAGGGTCTTTTCAGTGAGTCCCATCTTCTCGTTATGTGGCTAAAGTATTTAAAGCTTCAGCCTCAGTATTTCACCTTCCACTGAATAGCCTGAATTAATTTAAGTATGATTTGCTGTCCTTGCTGTCCAAGGGACTTGCAGAAGACTTCTCCAGCACCTGAATTCCAGCAAGAGTTCAAGCTCAGCTTTCCTTATAGCCCGACTCTCACTGCCATGCATTGCTGCAGGAAAAACCAAAGTTTTGACTTATACAGACCTTTGTTGGCAAGGTGATGTCTCTGCTTTTTAGGATGCTGTCCAGATTTGCCATAGCTTTCCTTCCCAGGAGCAAGGGTCTGTTAATTTCATGACTGCAGTTGCCCTCTGCAGTGATCTTTGAGCCTAAGAATATAAAATCTGACACTGCTTCCATTTCATCTCCCTCTACATGTCAGGAAGTGATAGTGGGTTTTTTTTTTTTTAATGTTAAGCTTTAAGCCACCTTTTACACTCTCTGTCACCCTCATCAAGAGGCTTCCTAATTCCTTTTCACTTTGTGCCATCAGAGTGGCCTACTTAAGGATTAGGGTGTAAACTCATCCTTTCCAGTCCAGGTGACCACTGTTGAGTTTTCCAAATTTGCTGGCATATTGAGTGCAGCACTTTAGCGACATCATCTTTTAGGATTTTAAATAGCTCAGCTGGAATTCTGTCACCTCCATTAGCCTTATTGTTAGCAATGTTTCCTAATGCCCATTTGCTGATGTTAAGATCTTTCTTGGGTAGTTCTTTTGTATATTCTTGTCACATTTTCTTAATCTCTTCTGCTTCTATGAAGTACCCACCATTTTTGTCTTTTATCATGCCCATTTTTCCATGAAACGATCCCTTGATATCTCCAATTTTCCTAAAGAGATCTGTCTTTCCCATTTTATTGTTTCTTCTATTTCTTTGCATTGCTTATTTAAGAAAACCTTTTCTCTCCTTGCTTTTCCCTGGAATTCTGCATTCAGTTGAGTATCTTTCCCTTTCTCCTTTACCTTTTGCACGCCTTCTTTCCTCAGCTATTTGTAAAGCCTCATCAGATAGTTATTTTGCTTTTTTGCTCTTCTTTTTCTTTAAAATATTTTGTTGCTGCCTCTTGTACAATATTGCGAACCTCTGTCCATAGTTGTTCAGGCACTCTATCTACCAGATCTAATACCTTAAATCTATTCATCATGTCCACTTCCTATTCATAAGGGATGTTATTTAGGTCATATCTATATGGTCTAATTGGTTTCCCCACTTTCTTCAATTTAGGTCTGAATTTTGCAATAAGCTTATGATCTGAGCCACAGTCTTCTTCTGACTGTATAGAGCTTCTCCACCTTTGTGTGCAGAGTATATAATCAATCTGATTTTAATATTGACCATCTGGTGATGTCCATGTGTAGATATGCCATGTGGGTTGTTGAAAAAAAGTGTTTGCCACAACCATTGAGTTATCTTGACAAAACTCTATTGGTATCTGCCCTGCTTCATTGTGTACTCCAAAGTCAAACTTACCTGTTATTTCAATTATCTTTTTTTTTTTTTTGCTAGACAATTGGGGTTAAGTGACTTGCCCAGAGGCACACAGCTAGTAAGTGTTATATGTCTGAGGCCAAATTTGAACTCAGGTCCTCCTGGCTACAGGGCTGGTGCTCTATCCACTGCGCCACCTTACTGCCCCTCCAGTTATCTTTTGATTTCCTACTTTAGCACTCTAATCTCCTGTGATGAATGTGATGTCTTTTTTTGTTGTTATTTCTAGAAGATATTGTATGTCTTCATAGAAATGATCAACTTTGGCATCAGTGGTTGGAGCATAGACTTATATACTGTGATGTTGAACAGTTTGTCTTGGATTTGAACATTTATCATTTTGTCATTTTTGAGATTATACCCCAGAACTGTTTTTCTTACCCTTGCCTATGAGGGCTACTCCATTTCTTCTAAGGGATTCTTGCCCGTCATAGTATATGTAGTGATCACCTGAATTAAATTTACCCATTCCCATCCTTTAAGTTCACTGACACCCAAAATGTTGATGTTTAATCTTTCCCTGTTTGACTATATCTGGCTTACCTTGGTTTCTAGATCTGCAGTTCTGTTATACCTTGAAGAAGAATCAGCAGGCACAAATGAGGTCTTTTGTGAAGTGTACACACAGATTATGATTACATTAGTTTGGGATGGGGAGAACGGAGGGACAGGTCCTAGGGTGATAGAGTTAGAGTATGAAAGGGACCTGGAGGAAGGGATTTGATCATAGGGTCATAAATTTAGAGCTTGAAAAGGAAGAAGGAGAGGTGATAGAGTCATAGATTTTGAGCTTAATGAGGGTCATAGGAGCTTAGATTTAGAGTTTGAAAGGGACCTTGAGGAGGTGGGGGAGGATCATAGGATCATAGAAGTTATTAAGGACCTAGGAGGTCATCAAGTCCAACCCTTTATTTTACAGATGAGGAAACTGAGGCACAGAGAGTATAACTGATTTGCCCAGGGTGACATATCTAATAAGGATCTGAAGCAGGATGTGAATTCAAGTCTTCAGCCAGCTTCCTGAAAGCTGTAGGACATAAGGACATTAGGAGAGGTTTTGAGACGCCTTTTACCATTCCTGGATAATTTAAAATACCTTTTATTAATGCCTTTTGTCTTTTCTGAGAAAGAAAAACTCTCCCCTCCTTCCCCCATTGAACCTCCTTTTGTGACAGAAAAAATTAAGCAAAAATGATGAACAAATCTGGCCATGATAGAACTTGCTGTTCTAGGACAAAGTCCCGCAACTCTGCCAGGAGAAGAGATATGTTACATTCTGTGTTCTCCTTAGCCTTCGTGGGTTTTTCAGTTCCTGACAATTCAGTTTCCTGAAGAACTACCTTCTACTGGAAACCTTTCCCAGTGCTCCTTGATCTTAGGGCCTTCCCTCTGAGATTCTCTGCAGTACATCCTGTATTTATCGTGTTTGTACATAGTTGTTTGCTTGTTGTCTCCCCCATTAGACTATGAGCTCCTATCTCCAGCACTTAGCACAGTGCCTGGAACGTAGTAGGCACTTGATGATACTTGATGACTAAACCTCCCTTGGAGAAGGTTGCTTATCTCAGAGCATCTCCTCGTTTCTCACTGGGCTGTACAACATCAGGGCCTCCCTGAGTTCCTCACCATGCCTTAGGAAGCTCAGGAAACCTCATCATCCTGCAAGCTGCCATCAGCCTCATCCCCATCCTGTGTCCCTCTGTTTGGACTAAAGAGGGAACTGTGCTCAGAACGTTATTTCTTACAGCTTTGGGACCTCTCTGACCTTTCCACCAATTCTCTTCCCTACTCCCTGCAGCTTCCACTTTCCTTTTGTATGTTGTCTTCACCATTCGGTTATGGGCTCTTTGAGGGTAGGGACTCTTTCGTTCTTTTTTGTATCTGTCTGTATTCCCAGAGTTTAGCACAGTGCCTGGCACAAAATAGGCACTTAAAAAAATTTTATTGACTGATTGACTTTGTAGTAATTTTGTTTATTGTTCTTGTGGTTCCATTTGTTTCACTCCACATCAGTTCTTATAAATCTTCCCATATATCCCTGACTTCCTCTTATTCCACATTACATCACAATAACATTCAAATACCATGCTTTAGTTTTGTTGTTGTTTTTTCCACTCTTTCCCACCTCCCCTTTCTCTATGGTTTTCAAGATTTACCAAGTGCTTTCTGCACACCCGAACCTCCCCAAAGAGAGGAGAAGACACTCAGTGTACAATGTAAATCAGGCAGGAAATATGTATTTATCACCTACATTAAAAAAAATGGTGAAAAGACACAAAAATTCACAGCAAGTATTGACAGGACTAGCGACAGCTTATGATTTATCATTACCATTACAATCTGCTGGGCTTGAGTAATAAACATCAGAATGTGAAGCAGTAGGCTACTAAATAAGCATTTCAGATTTCACTCTGGGCTCCATAAAGTCCGAACAACTCCTAGTCCGTGTCTTCTGTCTCTCAAGGCCAAAATCTGAGTTAATCTTCCTGTAATACCTTTCCAATCTGGCTACTCCCTCAATTTGCCCATAAATAGTTTGGAGTCTCCAGAGAGTAACTATTATTCTCTCAGGGTCCTAGGGGTAACCCTAAGGTGATATCTTTCTAACAGTGGAGTTCCTAAGCCCCCAGCAGTGTGCTCCCCATCAACAATTCATCCAGTCAACTCAATTAGCTTTTTAAAAATACATTTACTAAAGTGGTATAGGAAGAATAGTTGGTATAAAACATTCCTCCAAAACCAGGAATGTTCTCTGAGCATCCATGGAAA